AATACCAACATGGGCCAGTGAAGCGACGTCCTCCACAACTAGACTGAAGAACAAAAGGACAGCAACTTGTCTGTTCCCCTTCCCCAATTTCCAAATGCTGTTCCCCTCCTCCAATTCCCCAATAAAATTTTTTTTAAATGTATTAATATTTAATTGATATTTGTAATGGCATTTGTAAGTGCTGAAATGTATCAATAATAACTTATTTTCTCTTCCAAGTTCAATGCTTTGTTAGCCTATGCTTCCAACAAGCAAAAAGCTGAGCCTTCCTTATGTCTGGAATTTCCCCCAGACACTACCATGGAGTATCAGTAAGTGTTAACAGGGCACCAGTCGGTAAGGTAGTAGTCCCTGATGTCCAGGTGGAGGGAAGGTCACCATCCCTGTGAATGCTTCTTACAGAACATAAGCAGACATTCCGAAAGCTCAGGAGCCCTGTCCTGTAGCCAGGGGTCACGTGCTTCCAACCCATCCTGCTCAGAGAGGCATGAGTCCAAGCCTGCCTACGTTAGCTTTACTCACCTATATCCTACCCTTGTTAACACTTACCAGCTTCCTGATGCGGTCCAGCACCAGGTCGATGCTCTCCTTGCCCACCGTGTAGTGGCCCCGGGCATAGTTGTTAGCTGCATCCTCCTTTCCTGTGATCAGCTGCTCTGGATGGAAGAGCTGGCGGTAGGTTCCTGCCCGAACCTCGTCTACCAAAAGAAGGGGACCATTGTGTCTTACTACCTTCTTTCCCATTAAAATATTACATAACACCCTTCTGGGTCTCCACTTCTCCTACCTGTAAAATTCTACTGAGGTGAAGCCAGACAACCTTGTAACAAATCTGCAAAATGCTGACAGAATGCCAAGAAAACAGGCACTAAAAGAACCAGAAGCGACGAGAAGCCAGCTGCTCTCCTAGCTGGAACTTAAAAAAGCTCAACGAAGTTCAGTGATCACTGAGTGGATTATCACCTCTTCCTTCCCCTGGAACCCTCAAGGCTTCCATTTTATTATTTCCTTCATGCTGCAAAGTTACCCCAAAATTTAACCTGATTTCACCTGCATTAAAATGTTCTGGGTACACAGAGAAAGATTCAAGGTGACCTGCCCAGTTCCTAAGCTCTCCTAGGAATTGCCATCCCTCCTAACTTCCACCTCAAGGTGGTAATAATAAATGTCAGGCATTAGAGATATTTTAGAATTACTTTGAAGCAAAGCTATGCTCTAGGTTCTAGAAGAGCAGGAGCCTTAGAGAGGCTGTCAAGGGGGTTCTGCTCACCTCTAAGGGTCCACACAAACTAGACACATGGCAGACCGGATGCACCAGGCCCAGACTACATCTCCTCTTCCCTTCAGGGATCTCCTACTCCCCAGGGGAAAGCACCCATTTGCACAGTGGCCTGGGAGAGGAATCTGCATTTCTGTATTTGTACAAAGCACAAATACAGGCTGGAGCACCTAGAGTCTGCTGCACCTAGGAATTAGTGTTTGGGCCTTACAGACATTTGCCCAGACATCTGTGTGACACGTACTCATCCCTTGCTTGTTGAGCCAGCAAATCTTGATGTTGAGCTGAGGACTGACCCAGGGGATCAGACCTGGGGAAGTGAAGGGGGCGCTGCTCAGGGGAAGAGGTGGAGCAGAGAAAATCCTGTCCTGACACGAGTCCAAATTCTTGTTTTCTAAGATCCAAATGAGGTTCATTCTAGGACGACAGCCACCTCTGGCTGTAAGAGAATATGCCTACTATTATTCCATTTTATGTGCCAGGCCTGTGAGAACAGATTGCAATTATTAATCAGAAACCTATACTTTAAGAAATGGACTATTTGGGGGCTTCTTATCATTTCTAAAATTATTTTTATTTTTTTTATTGTTAGTATTTACTAAACAATCTTGACAATTTTTGTCTATAGGTTTAAGGGGTTTGTTTAAGTAGAGGGCATTTTGTTTTGTTCAGGTCAGTGATATGACGGGAGAGCAGAGATCCCAGGTTCCCATTGTGAGGCTCCTCAAGACTATGGAGAATTCAAGGCGCTGACAGAGTCATGGAGGCAGAAAGGCTCTAGCTGAGCTACCCCACCTTCCAGTTAGAGATTCTGCTTCCTTAGACTCACGGACAGAACCTCTCAGTTTCAGGTTGTTTTCTGTGGGTAGAGTCCTAGCCCATACTCACCTACTACGGTAGGCTCCAAATCTACCATGACAGCCCGGGGCACGTGCTTCCCATTGTCAGTCTCACTGAAAAAGGTGGTAAATGAGTTGTCGTCATTGATCTTGCTGGCCTGGGCACCAAAGGTGCCATCCGCCTGGATGCCATGCTCCAGGCAGAAGAGCTCCCAGCAGGCATTGCCAATCTGAACTCCCGCTTGACCCACGTGGACTGATATGCATTCCCTCTGTGGAGAGAGTGCAGAATCACAGTCAGAGAGTCCTGGGACCCAGCCATGTCTTTTTTCCTATATCCCCCACATGTGACAACTTGTCTTTCCTGGCATTCAGCTCACAGGATGTCCATCCCTCCAGCCATGCCATCCCAGAACCAGGGTCTGAGGTCTCAGGTGTCTGAGCACCACTGCATCCGGACCAAGACTCAGCTCTGAAGAAGAACCACTGTTTTATGGTTTGCTCTAAAGGTTGCTTTCCAGGGTTAATCCTTCATGCCAAGGAAAGGAAAAGTGGGGGAGCTGCACAAATGAACAAGGGACTAATTCTAGACCATGAGACTCCTGTACTGACGAAGGTGGTCAAAGGAAGTACCAGTGATAACAGCAAAATCACACACACACACACACACAGAGTCTTGGAATATCATAGAGCAGATAAATGCTCATGGAAGGATTATACAATACTTGGGAAATCTGTATCACGGGTGTAGTTGGTGTTCTGATTACAAATGTAAGAATAACAAAGGACTGGCACATCAGCAAGACAGGTTTGTTGGAGCATATAAATTAGGCTCTCCTGAACTCTGAGAAGTTGGAAAATTTCTTTGTAGCCACCATCACCTATTCCCTTGCCTCTGTCAGGCCACGTGTTAAATAAAGATGACCTTTAGAGTGTCCTTATCTCTATGTTACCCTAGTATGATGCCACAATTACCTGACTGGTCCTAGTACTAACAGCTTAGAATGGGGAGTGTGTGTGTGTGTGTGTGTGTGTGTGTGTGTGTGTGTGTGTGTGATTGAGAGTATAAGTGTGTGTGTGTATGTGTATGTGTGAATAAAAACCACCTCATCCCCCTCCACCACACCCCACTTGTGGGGAAGCAGTGGCTGGTACAAGGTGGCTCTGTGCTTGGGGCACCCAGCAGAGCCCAGCAGGGAAGCATGTGTCTAATCTGTGGGTTTCTATTCTTATCCATGAACCAAGCTGATATTTTCCAGCTTCAGATAGCCCCAGCCAGGTGCAGAGCCTCCAGAGCGCGTGGCTGGGCATGGAAACACACTGAGTACATGTCAGAATATGGGGCTTCTGGGAACTTGGAAGTTCTCCAGGCATGGGAGCAGGGCAGCTGCCTGAGTAACATCTCAAAGGGTCAGAGGTGTCAGGAACCCTTGCTCCCCCATTTGGTTTTACAACTGAGCACCAACTCTGCATCTGTCTCTAGGTTCTTGTCTTTGGGGAGGATAGAGAGTACAGGAGTTCACAGCAGCCAATAGATAACACATCCAAGCTGGGAATACAACCCAGCTGTATCTCCATGATCCTGGTGGCCAGGGAAAGGCTTCTCTCACCAAGTTAGTTTGGATCTTGCTTTTTTAGCTGACCTGATGTGCTGTATGACATTGGCTGAGTTACTTAATCGTCCCTTGTCTGAAAATAATAAGTTAGCCATGACTATTGTCGTCTTCACCCTTCACCATTATCAATTTCATTATACTATCTTGTAACTTTATTCTCCACCTGGGAAAGGCACATGTGGAAAGTTCCCTTCCTCAGGTCCCTTTCCACTCACCTGTATTGTGAGGTCTATTTTACTTAGGACTCAATTCAGGCCTGAGAACAGCGGTGTCCCATACCCAGGAACCACCCACAACCAGCGTGTTATTGGCCAGACCACATCTTCACATCCAACATGCAGCTGTGGCTTCCTAAGGAAGGTTCTAAAGTTGAGAGAATGTTGGAAAAAAGCCTGACCCTACATATCATCCTTCTAGTTGACCACATCCTCTGTGGCCCTGACCCTCCCCCTTCTGAGCCTTGCCACCCTCACCACCACCACACCCCAGCCACCCTCCAGGCCTATATTAGGTAGTCTTTTGGGCAAGGATGCAGGGATATTTCAGGAAGACCAAAGGTCATAGAAGGATGAGTAAAGGATCATGGAGACCTAAAAACCACCAACATGGTAATATCAATGTTTTTAGCCTCTTTTGATTGGCCCTTTAGTCTCTCACTAATAAATGTGCCTGTCATCACTGACAAAATCTCTCTCTCTCTCTCTCTCTCTCTCTCTCTCTCTCTCTCTCTCTCTCTCACACACACACACACACACACACACACAC